TGGGACGTATCTTTGAATTTGATGTTGTCGTGTCTGAAAAGAGAGCTTGTGGCAAAAAAGTTAGAAAACTTGAATCGGCAAAACTTATTAAAAAGAATTGATCAAACACTCTGTTTGTATATTGCAACTTTATGATGTACTATCTATCTAATATAAATAATGATAATTAAAATAAAATTTTTAAGGTATACGTATCTCTTTGTTCAACAGCATATTAAGATGAGGTTCTTTTATTTCTACCTCATATACTTTGAAAACCAAAAATATTGATTTACTTATTAACTAAACTTGAGTATTGAAATGTGTCCTTCATGGTAAAACAAAAAATCAGCAAGCGGATATTCAGTTAGTATTGTGTATCTCTTTTGGCCAATCACGACACAATTTTTAGACGTTCCAATCGTGATTTAAAAGACAAAGATGGAAAGAAAAAGAAAAAAGTATAATACAATAATAGTTGAAAATTTGATCAAATTTAATATGAAATAAAGAGAAGAAAAGCCAAAATTCAATTATATGAAAGTGCTGTTCAAAATATTATAAATGGGAAAAGACTTTTAGATGCGATCATAAAATATAATGCAAAAGACTTCAAAATGTTAAAAACGGACAGATGCTATAAAGCGATCCCTTCTGTTACAACAAAGCTCTCATATGCTCGGTGGATTTTAATTTCTTTTAATAAATTTTGTTCGTACATGTTTGGTAATTTCTATTAACTAGGATGTGGAAAAATAATTATTCCTAACCATTCAATTACCCTAGAATATCCTTGCCATGGAACTAGAGCATTAAGAGAATTTACTTATTCCCTCTCTTCTCTCGAAAAGAACAACTATATCTGTAAAGTGACCAACTAAACAAACATGTAAATTATTAATAACAACTTTTTAACAAACTAAAATCACATCCTTAACCTAATAAAACTATATAAAACTCTTTCGCATCCCTTATAAGTTTTAGTTCTTCATACAAATTGAATTAGAAAGGAAATCGACATCTTAATTATGAAAAATTAATAGAATAAGAAAAGAAAGTAAGGGATTAGAGAGTTATCAAATTTTGTTGTTATCGTTTAATTGATGTTCTTTTCATTTGAGCTCTTACGTCCACCTCTTTACCTTAATCTATCTTTCTTGGTATTCTTTTTCTTCTGCTATGAACGTGTGCTAAATTAGGGTTATTCTTCTTCTCTGGTTTCATAAGAGTAGAGCTCTCTATTGTCTACTCCACTTTCCCCTTTGGTGTCTCTCCCTCTTTTAATGAATCCTTTTTTCATTATATTTTTCACTGCTTCCCATTTTGGGCGGAAAAAGAGTAATTTCTACCTAGGAGCCCTCGCTTATTTGGATTATAATTTCCATGTCATTCTTGAAAAATTTTGTGTTCTGAATTGCTTCTTCATCGCGGTTAGCAATTTGTTTCCATATTTGTAACGACCCTAAATTTCCACATACTCAGAGTCGCTACTAACGTCTCATGCTCATCTATAATGCGGAAATATAGCTCTTACATGAACATAATTGATAACGTAAATTAAAAAAAAAACGTTTAAAACAACTTCTCCGGAAAACACAGCCATGGTCTTACGTGTTTAAATATGAAATACTGAAATTTAGAGAAAACAAAAACAAATACAAAATAATTTAAAACAATGAAATGCAAAACAACCTGTTCTAACTTAAGACTAGAAATTTAAATATGAATCTACCCTATGCACGTGCCACAGTCTCTGCTCGCGATGCCGCCGTCCTCC